CTTTATTCCTGAAGACTTTCAATTATCCACAAATATGTTTCAATAAAGATGACAAAATTATAAGATAGAATTGTTTTTTTTTTTTTTTTTTCCTTTTTGTCTTTTTTCGTGACCGGCAACGGATCTCAACCCTCAGTGTCGCGCCCGTACCGGACCGGGACTGGCAACGGGATCAGGATCGCTACCCTCGGTGTTGCACCCGCACCTCGCTCAGCCAGTGAGTGGCCGGTCTGTACATGGGATCCGAACCCTCGGCGGGAGCGCCGTCGCGCTCCCAAGTGGTGCACTGAAGCAGTGCGCCACCGGGCTGGCCCCAAGATAGAATTGTTTTTACAGTTAGGCTCTGTAAATCCATGGAGAGAGAGATAGTCACTCTTCCAGGGTCTGGGTTTGGTATATTTCTGCTTCCAGTTGATTCTAAAGCAGAGGTTCTCTAATGTCTGATAATTATTTAATCATGGAAATAAATACCTTACTGTAGCAGGTAGAATCTATTTTATAGATGACATCTTTAATGCTTGATGCATTTGTCCATCTGTTAGAAACATTAGTCAAAAATTTAAAAGGAGATATATTTATTAAAAAATGGAATTATAGGGCCGGACCCGTGGCTCACTCGGAAGAGTGCAGCGCTGGTAGCACCAAAGCCGTGGGTTCGGATCCTATATAGGGATGGCCAGTGCGCTCACTGGCTGAGCGTGGTGCGGACAACACCATGCCAAGGGTTGCGATCCCCTTACCGGTCAAAAAAAAAAAAAAAAAAAGAAAAAATAGAATTATAGTAGATCAGATACTGACCACGTAAATATAATGTGGGTAATTTTTATAAATGTGTTTTTATATATGACTCACAGTAAAGATGCTTACAAAATAATTATTACTGGTATATTTTAAAAATCAATAGAGTTTTATTTAAAAATTTAGTATTCCATAGACTTTAAAATTTCTAACTTGTTAATTAATTTTATTACATAGGCATGGTAATCGATTTCTTTCTTCAAAAGTTTAGCATCTGAGGCTGCGTTAAGATTTTTAAGGCAAGCATCACGCTAAAGCGTTCTCATTCTAATACTGGCAGGAAGAGAGAGATGCTTTCATGGGTCTCACCATGTAGTAGGCTTACCTTATGAGCTTCAAATGAGATAAGTGTTCTGGAGTTAATTCTTAGGCTGCTTGTGTTGGGGAATAAGCAGGGGAGCTTTATTTAGAGAAGTTCAATAGGAGAGAATAGAAGAGTAAGTGGGGAGGGAGGGAGTATTTATCTTCTAGGCTTCTAAAAGGAAGAACAGGCCTGAATATTCCAACACAGCGCAGCTTGGTGTGCTGTAGCATGGAAAGGAGGGCCAGACTCACTGAGCAAGGGGAGAGGAGTAAAAGATAAGAATGGAGAGGAAATCCAGTACAAGTTTATGTGCTCCCTTGCAGACCGTGGTGAAGAATTTGGCTAGTCATGCAAATGTGGATCTTTTAAAACAGCTATTCATACTTAATGGGTTATCTGAATATGTCCATTCTTTGCTCCTAGATTCTTTCTACCTTATATACTATAGACATTACAGAATATTAGAAGACTATTTAACCTCAATTGTTTTTCTTCAATGTACAGAGATGTAAAAGATCCATAGTGAGTGCTAAAATGTTAATTCTGAGCAAATTATTAGTTTTTCACAGATATTGTGAGGGATCTAAGTTTATAGAATTGGGATTTAGGAGAAGCTGAGAAGGTCTGTCTTCCCCTTTCCTAATCCTAGGAAACGGTACATTTTTTAAAAGTGGGAATGGGAATGATACTCTCAATATAATTGAATACATGGTTGAAATGAGACAATTGAAAGGAGAACTACGTAGAGATGAATAAATTAAGGGACTGAGATTTAGAAAGCTTAAGTAAAAGCATCTGTACTGCACCTATTTTGTTACTTCTATAGTCTCTACTATTAGATTTTTAAAAATTGTGTTGCTTTATGTAGTAGAATTAATTAGAATCAAAATAATCTTTTAAAAAATCCAATTTTTAACCAGGTGGTTGTAAGAACACAAAATACTGAAATTTTTAGTTTGTTTATTTTTATAATATTAGGTATATTTACAAAGTAATTGAAACACCTGCTAAGCTGAAATTACAAATAATTATGTATTAGTACACTTACATCATGTAAGTGAAAAAAGCCTAGTTTTGTCCCACTGAAGGGTGCAATTGAGTTAAACAGAAGAAATCAGGCCATAGTCCATGCAAACACAATAAATATTTTACAATATGTCAATATCATACTGTCATATTTTTATTTAGAAATAAATTTTTATCAAAATTATATGGCTTTGATATTGATATATGATTAATGCTTGATTTAGGCTGTTTCCATCTTTATTTAATATCACAATGGCTACTGCTGAGCTATAGTAATATTTAGTAGCAATAAGAGACTAGTTGGGGTCCAAAGGAAGTAAAATATTTTTATACCACATATCTAGGCAGATTATTCGGCACAGTTTGTGCATGCCTTTAAGTAATTGTTCAAAATTAGAGTTCAGTTGGATTAATAATATTTCTTCATCGGTGAATCTTAAATTTTATTTGAGTTACAAAGGTTTATGCTATTTTGGGGGAGAAGATTTTGTGATTATATGTTTTGGTTATTAAGAAGAACCCTAATATATGATTGCTAACTGGAAAGCTGAGGATATTTAGAAATTTTCTAGCAATTGTTATTATTACCCTTAAAGTTGAACTAGATTAATTTTAGAGAGGTGACTAATATTTGACACAACTTATCAAAAATTAGTCAGTTTGAGACTAATCTTATGGACATTACAGCCCATGTTGAGGGATAATGGTGAATTTTGGATAACAACACAATAGTTAAAAGAATATATATATATATATATTTAAGTAGATACTATATTATATATATATAATAGTACATATGTACATATATAGTACATAAATTATATGTGTATATAAATTAATATCTACTTTGTGTAAACCACGTAAAACCTATCTCTGATCCATTTATTCTGCAGGTAGTATTTTAACCCTACAAATTAGACTAAGATAAAACATGTGATAGAAATACAGAATTTGGGCACATCAATATCTCTATGAAGTAAAAGATGGTTTTGATTGATGGTTTTAAATTCCTTACTAATATCTACTTTAGGTTATGTAAAAGCACTTAATTATCTTAATGTTGAAGGTGAGATCTACAAATATTTAGACTATCTTTTCTATTTCCTGAATCTATTGTAGGTTATTTATGAGGGGTCTTCAAAAAGTCCGTAGAAGTATTCGTATTATCTTTTAATTCTATTTTTCCACAAACATTGTGAAGTACCCTTATATGTTTCCTTACATTTTAATTCTTGAAGCCACCAGACATTTTCCAAACTTTTACATGGCAATATGCATTTTTCAAAGTTTGGAAAATTTTTCTGATGGCCTTACCCTATATTAGAAATGTTAAAATATTAAATTTAGACATATTTTACACAAATATATCCAAAGTTTAGGCCACACCACAATGTGGACAGTGTAAAGTGTATTATATTTGAGAAACAGACTTAAGTTTGTTTTGTTTTTGCTTGGGGTTTTTAATTCCTCATTTCTTATTTCTGCTTTATTCAAATGGGTTGATTCAATGTGTACAATAATTGATTTCCTTTTCTTTTTCACATAACTGTGTTTTCTGTATGGGTATAAGTTGAGTAATATAGTTACATCTTAACACTTAATTGTTAGGTTGATCTCGCTTCAGGCGGGAAAGTCTATAGTTCATTGATAGTGATGAAATAACCTAGATGGCTTTCATATAAATAGGAACAAATGTGCACAATAGTTACATTCCATGGTATATTTAATGATACTGCTAAAGAGTAAGATGGAAGCTCAGTCTTTCATGATGGAGATGCACCTGAGTGCATTCACAGAAAATTTGGTTCTGCAAGCTTGGAAGAAGTAATTGTCATTCAACAGAAATCAACCAATTTTGCATATCAGTAAAACACACACACATACTCTTATCTATTTTCTGAGTGCTCTGAAACTGATATCAAAATAGCAAGTATACATTTATGAGACTTTGAAATGCTTTATTATTTTTGATCACATGAATTCAATATAATTATAAAATTAGCTCTGAGAATATGTGAAAAATGTTACTACCTAAGCAAGTGAAGATAGAATAAAATCCACAAATTTCATTTCAGGCTACATAATTTTTATATCCACATTTGTTTCTCAAATGCCATGTCATTAATTACTTTTTTATTATTCATTTCTAGATGGAAGACTGTATTTGAAAACTACTGTCATGTACTGAATCTTTCCTGTTGAAGAAATCCATGTTATAGCAAAGAACTTTGCAGTCAGAAATTCGTCACTGGAAAGTTCGAAAAAAAGTCCTTTTAATGGAACTTCCACAATTTTGTGTATTAATGTTCTTTGATAAGTTTAAGTATTCTACAAAAAGAAAAAAAAAGTTTCTTCCATTGATTTTCACCTGTGGTTCATACCAGAGACCTGAAAATGTTTGTAAATGTATAAGTATCAAACTTCTTACAGTTAATAACTGCAACTTGCTGCTGGACACTAGTACACAGAGTTAAAGGCAGGTCTGAATAAGACCTAGTTTTTTTTTTTCTTTCTTTTTTAATGGAATGAACCATTTTCCTCTTCTGAAAATTCTGTATCTGAGCACATGAAGAGATTCTTGTAGCAGTGGTCACCTGGTCATCAGGACTTACAGAATTATGTCCTCCAGAAACCAGCAAGAACACTTGGAAATGAACTTGTAGGGGGCATAGAGGATTCCGAAAAAAATAAATAGTAATATTCTGTTACATACAATTTTGAACTCTCTAATTGTGGATTTTTCTCCTGAAGATTTTTTTTTTCACATACTTTCCAAAAGACCAATAAATGGATGTTGATAACAACCCAATGAAATAACATTTTGCATATCTGAAAAGAAGCATTGAATAGAAGCCAAAAGCTTTCACTGAAGGTCTTTTTTCTCAAAAATTAAAAAAAAAATATATATAAATGTAACATGTTTTCATTCCAAACTGGTAGTGGTATGTAGAAGTAAAAAATAATGTTTCTTCTTATTCAAACTGTTGGTCACATGTACAGTATATAAACATAAAACACACAAGGAAGGTATTATGTATGCAGTAGTATACTAGAGTTTAGGAAAATGAAAATTTTAGAAAATATGTTTTGTCACCCTGTTGGTCAGAAAGACGTCTTTCTGGTTTTAACGCATGCAGGCATGTAAATATTTGTCTGGAGTCACAGTATTAATGAATGAGATCGTAAGCATCTGGTGACATCAGAACTCTGTCAGCCACTTTTATTTGTATATTGAACCCTAGTTAGTGCCCCAAACTGCACTATTGAGAATGGATTGTGGCTGAACAGTAAATCAAAACACCAGAAATATTTTTATATGTTAATGTCATACTATGTTAATGTTGCTGAGAAACAAAACCTAACAAACCCTCGTTGTATCGGTCCAATATCATGTAGCTCTGAGTGATAAAGTTAAAATGTGTTGTATTTCCCACCCTGGTCAGAGCGAAGGGTGGCTACGTGTTATTTTCACTGTCTTTTTGAAAGTTACAGTATGTGTTTTCACTTTTGTGCAGATAACTGGAAGTAAAGCTGCAAACAGTGCTTATTACATGCTAAAGTTACCTTCTCTTTATTTTTACATATCTGGAGTTACACCTTTAAAGACTGATATGAATCAGTACATTTCATGATTTTTTTGTCATCTTAAAATTTTATGATCATAACATTATTTATTACCATAAAACAGCAAAATCTTAAATGTCTAAGAAAACTAGCTTAAATGTTTAAAGATAGTTCTGATTGAACATAATTATTTGGTTAAGAAACAAATGAACATTATAGTTACTCTGGCACTGAGCTTCTGTACTTTTTAGGTCTTCCTTGCAGTACTGGAACATAATTCTTTTCTGTATCTGTCTATTAATTAGCTAAGTCCATTTTTTTAATACAATAAAAGGTTATATGTACAGTTCCTATTGTAGCTTGCTTAAAAAGGGAGCAATATTTTTATTTAAAATATTGTTAGTAAATGCTTTGTAGAAACTTGGTTTTCTAAGCATAGTTCTTCTATAACCATCTTTTGTTGTCTGAGCACAAGAGATTCTATTTCTAGTTATATGTTTTTCTTCCCATATGCAGTCTTTAAAGGATTACAACACTTAAAATTGGATAGATTTATGGCAAGCATTTGAATTATACATTTTTGGAAAATTTTTTTAAAAAGCCTACAACTTACATATATAGTAGAATCAGCCATTGCTCTGCTCCTGGCATAGAGTCACCTGTTAAGTGGGTTAAATAGTTTTAAAATACATACTTGCAAGATCTTTGAGAATGCTTTAGTGTTTGGTTTGACATAAAAGGAAATTTTAGCAAGGATTAAAGAAAAAAGCTCTCAACTGTATGTTAAAAGAGACTCTTACTAACATGTTGTAAATATTACAATTCATGTTATTGTAAGTCTGTAACTTAATTTTTCCTGTTTTTAGTTATACAGGTTGGTTTGGAAATTTGTGTTTTGGCATAAACAAGTAAAACTGTGCCCATTTTATGGTTTCCATGCTTTTGTATTCCTAAAATATTAATGTCTAGTCGTTCTGTATTATAACCACATTTGCGCTCTATGCAAGCCCTTGGAACAGAACATACTCATCTTCATGTAGGACCTATGAAAATTGTCTATTTTTATCTATATATTTAAAGTTTTCTAAAAATGATAAAAGGTTATTACGAATTTTGTTGTACAAAATCTGTACAAAAATCTGTTTTTACATCATAATGCAAGAATTGGAAATTTTTCTATGGTAGCCTAGTTATTTGAGCCTGGTTTCAATGTGAGAACCACGTTTACTGTTACTGTATTTAATTTTCTTTTTCTTTTCAACAATCTCCTAATAAAACTGTCTGAAATCTCCCTGTGACTTTATTTACAGTTCATCTTTATTAAATTTTGTGAAATGCATAGCATTGAAGGAATATTTACTTTCTAATGGGAGGCATCTAAAAACAACATAAGTCAGCTCTTTGTGATGTGAAGGGAACAATGCTCAATGACTTTATTTAACATGCAACTGCTTCTATCTCTAATATGAATTACTGTGGTGAAAAACATCATAAAAGCACACTCTGTAGTTATTGTTTAACAAGCAGATTTTCCATATTTTGTTTCTTGCCAGCTAAGCAAACTGCCCACATATACATGATTTATTTATGTACATTTCTCAGTTTATGAAGCTGTTATTTGTACCTTTTTCCTTTATATTCTTATATTCCCATGATTCTTATTTCACAAAGCTTTGTGCTGAATAATGTAAAGTAGACATGTTGATGGAACAAAATATATTATTCCCATATCTATAGGAGTGTAGATTTGTAATTTTAACTCAGTGTTTTGCTTTCTGTCTCTATCACTGGAAAAAATGCCTTTGGAAACTTTAAAATTACAATATCCTTTAATAATATATAAACATTTTAACCAATCCAAAGTGCAGCATTTGAAGAAATATTAAGTTCTTTTCTCTGTTAATAGTCTAAACATTCCCAAGAGAATACAAAATGGATTCTTTTCTGTCGAAAGAAAATATTTTAATGAATTCTTGAAACAGTATATTAACAAATTATGATTGTTTTCTCTGTTAATAGTCTAAACATTCCCAAGAGAATACAAAATGGATTTTTTTCTGTCGAAAGAAAATATTTTAATGAATTCTTGAAACAGTATATTAACAAATTATGATTTTTCCCAAATAAAAACAAAAAACGTTCATGTGACTGATAGACACATTTTTGTTTTCTGTTATATGTTTATGTCAGTAAGATTTGTACTAGAACATCATACAGTCTCTGAATGTTAAAGGAATTCAGTGATAATTTAGGTTTTTTTCCCCATGTGTTTTCATTGGGACTAGCAAATTTACAATCTGTACAAAAACTATTACTAGAGGAGACTATCTTATAAGTTACATGGGTTGCATTTTTAAAATATGGGATGTAGAGATGTTAATATAATCAAAACATTATTGTAAACAACATGTAAAAATATAACTTTTCCTTATATACAGGCTTGCTTCTAATATTTATCTTTAATATTTACAACTGGTATACAAAAGCTGAACTGATCCTCATTTATTCATTTAAGCAGATCCATGAATAAAGCCTCCATTTTGCACAAAGCACTGTGCTAGATATAGTAATGACTGAGGTTGAAAACACAGTTGTTGTCCTAGAGGAGCTTATAATTTTGTTGTAATTGGAATCTTACTTTCAGGAAGAAAAGACTCATTGAGCATCTTCTGCTTTATACTGGATATGGAGCTGGTATTACGAGCATCACATATTGCACACAGGTATTCAATGCAGTACTCCACAGATATGTTCAATCAATTATGTTTCAGTCAATCAATCAATAAATAATTTTTTTTAAAAAAAGGGAATCGACTTAGACACCTTTCCACTAGGTGGTAACAATTTAGTGACCGATTTTATACTTTAACTTTCTAAAGAACAGTACAAGATGATTTGGTAAGAATTACGAAAAGGCAAAGATGTTTTCACCTAAGTAAAACACCATATTAGTTATTCTTTTCACATTGTTCATTTATTTTATTGTATTATTTTAATATATCAATATACAGTGTAGTTGATTTTCATGTCCCTTTACCAATTCCTACTTCCCCCCTCCCTTTTCCCCTTCCCCCCATCAATACCTTATCTGTTTACCTGTCTTATTTCAATTACATCATTCTTACCAAAGATCACAAACTTTGTTCTAAGGTAAGCATCCTGTTTGACAGAGACAATAAAAAATCGTTACCATCAACAAACAATAAATTCCTAATACATTCAGACTAGTAGATTTATAATATTTAATTCTTATCACTCAGCATTTGTATACTTGTATCTGTGGGATAAGTAATGGTCTAAAATGATTCAAACACAGAGCATAAATTCCTAAATGCCGAATGAGTGCTTTAGATGATGAGTGACATTTGTTCTGGTAGCATCATTTGCATTTAGCGATTAATGAGCTGGAGATTTTAAGTTGAAAAATTGAATCAGTTAGGACTCATCTGTTTGGATGTAACAAAAACAAACTCCTGCAAGATTAAATTGCAAAAAGAATTGGTTATAAAGACAGTGGGGTACACATAGAACCCCAAGACAAGAATGCAGCCAGGCCCAGGGACCAGGGACCCTCTTTTACCATCATCTTTCTGCTCTTCTCAGTGACACTGATTCTTTCCCCTCTCATTGCAGATGTGCTCACTTCTCTTGTTCATCTCTTGACTCTTCTGTTATTTAGGATCATGAGATTCCACCTACAGAAGTGAACCATTCATGCTTTCTCTCTTGTCCCAAGTCAGATTCCCTGAGAGTTCCTATGGCTTCAGGTCAGAGAACAAATCAGAAGGTACCTTGTTAGTACATTAAAAGCACTTAGAAAATTTTAGAAACTTATGTTCAACTAAATTTGAATCTCTGGGGTTGGGGCTAGGACATCAGGAATTTTAAGTTCTTTAGGTAATTCTAATGAGCAGCTAAGTCTGAGGACCACTGGGAGGGTGGCAAATATCACATTATAGAAAATGATTAATGGGGCCTCTGTTGTGAAGCAGGAAGGTAGCTAGGGTTGAGGTGGAGGCATTGTGAGCTGCGCAGTCTCTAAAAGCCAACTAATAGTTCTGTAAAATCAACTAAATATTTTTGGAAATATTTTAAAAATAATTTTTAGCAGTGTGAACTTAATTCTGAATTGAATATGAATTTGCAATCTTCCCACTCAGATGCAATAGAAAAAACACATGATTTTTTTTTCTAAATAAAATTATTGATAAATCTGACCCCAGTACCAACTATACAGGGAGGTAAAAATTCTATCCCAGTCATTGTTTAGGCTTTCTACCCCTGAATATCCTAAACATTTTTCTTAGTCTGTACCATTTCAGGAGAACCGTAAGATTTTCATACCTAGAATCCAGCCTATGAGAAGCCATTCTTCTCAAGGAGCCTCTACATTTGCAGAAGCAAAACTTAGAACAGTGTCTGGTCTCAGTAGAAGAATCGAGGAAATATTTAAGATAATGATATTAATGGGGAAATGTTAAGTTGGGTGAAAAGAGGTAGGGTTTCCACATTTTACTCATACTGACAAAGTGTCAGTCAGTGCAAATAGATGGTATTAAGTTGCACAAATATAATGTAATACCTAGAGCAACTACTAAAAATGCTATATTAATATGTACACTTGAAAACACTACAGATAAATCAAAACAGAATTCAATGCTGTAGTGAGGTTAGGTTCTAGATAAACAGTGTTTTTGGTAATTGACCCAGCTATAACCTACTTTGCTAGTAGTTTGCAAGCCTCCCTCAGGTACTTTGGCTGCTCTTTCAACAATGCTGGTTGTGTGGCAAACTTTGTCTGCTACGTTAGGCAGCAAATGAAGATAAGTTGGTTGATATGTCATCAGCACTGTGCATTTCTGTTTTGTATTTATCGTGTACTCACTTTCAACAATATATTTCAAACTGATATTTTAAGAAACAAGTAAGGACTCAAATGGTAACTATTTAGTCCTTAAAAGTTATCAATTTAAAAAATTCCATTGTTGGCTTCTACCACAAGTATGGGAACTGGAAGATGTTGAAACCAGTCAGTTCTTTTCTTACTAATTCATCTTGTTAAAGTTATAAGGAAAAAGGGTCTTGCGCTGAGTTGGATCTTTCAGATAAATCCATCTGGTTATCATGTGCCTGGTTCATCTAGGCTAATGGGGTTGCGGCTCCTTCTGTTAATATATTTTGATGTTTTTTTTTTTTTTAAATATATGCTTCATGTATGCTTTTTCTTTTACTACAGATAGCTACTGAGAGACAACAGGTGCACATCAGGGCCTAAATAATAGTGTGTCGGGTCCGCCACCTGCTGACCCGAACAGCCCTTGCCTTGCTATCAGTCTCTCCCTTGGTGTCACTTCTGGTGGGCGGGTGGATTGCCCAGATTCCTCTTTCCCTGGTCCCTGTTGAGAGGAGATGGAGGAAGAGAGCTGTGAAGAGAGGTGAGCACAGCCGCCAGGCCCAACCAGCCCATTAAAGGACACTCAGACACGGCAGGGGTTCTGTCAAGCAGTTCTGTTTATTATCACACAAGCACTTGATTTTAAAGGCAAATGGGGAAGGGAGGTTTTTACATCCTCCAATCAGCTTAAAGATTACGAGAGCATGCATCCTGTCTCAGTGCCTAGCTATTGCAATCACGCAGTGTTCACAAGTGCGGAAGCGCGTATTTGGCCAATATGGGCTAAGGCAAGGTTCCCGCAGACACTCCCACCTTACTTCCTCCCGGCACCATCTTAGGCTGCCACGTTAATAAGCCCTTGTGGGCCCATAATGGCACCGCTTGTAATGTCACTTACGGTGGCGTTAGTTTTTAAGGCCCGACAATAGTGGGTACGAGATGCTGGGAAATGAAGTTCCCTGAAACATAGAACAAAACAGGACAAGAACAGAGAATATGATCAAAGAGCCAATANGCATGCATCCTGTCTCAGTGCCTAGCTATTGCAATCACGCAGTGTTCACAAGTGCGGAAGCATGTATTTGGCCAATATGGGCTAAGGCAAGGTTCCCGCAGACACTCCCACCTTACTTCCTCCTGGCACCATCTTAGGCTGCCACGTTAATAAGCCCTTGTGGCCCCATAATGGCACCGCTTGTAATGTCACTTACGGTGGCGTTAGTTTTTAAGGCCCGACAATAGTGGGTACGAGATGCTGGGAAATGAAGTTCCCTGAAACATAGAACAAAACAGGACAAGAACAGAGAATATGATCAAAGAGCTAATAGGAAAAAAAATCTAAGAGCACAATGTATTTTCCGGGAGAGAGGGAGGAGAAAATTCTTCATTGGTTAACA